AACAGGGGATTCTGTGGCTATTATGTTGAACTGAATGGTGTTGTAAAATAATAATAATAATAATAATAAAAAAAAACAACAACAACAACAAAAACCCATACTGCTCAGGGTGATAGGACAGCTATAGCAGAAAGAACAGAAAATTTAGGAGAAAGCATAAAGCAATTTTTTTTTTGGCAAACTTCTATAAATGAACAAAGACCCAAATTAAAAACAGAAATAAATGACATTCTCTTGGAAGGTCTTGTAGAAACAGGTGTAGATGTAACAATAATTGCACCAGAATCTTGGCATCCAAATTGGCCTCTTTAGGAATTAAAAGTTCAGCTGTTAGGGATTGTAACATTATCTCAAGTGAAACAGAGGGCAACACATGTCAAATGTATAGGGCCAAAAGGACAGAGAGAAAAATTAAAGTCATATGTGCCTAACATAATTATGAATTTATGGGGCCATGATTTATTACAACAATGGAATACCCAGATTAACATTCCTTCAACCTCAGAGACAAACCATAAACTAACACATGTTTCTGAGAAAAATATTAGAAGATATTATAAAAAAAAAAGCAGTCACCAGCCATCCAGATTGTACAAGAATGGGGCACAACAGCTGCTGATCTTTCAAAGACGCCAACAGCTCTACCTTTAAAATGGTTAACAGATAAGCCTGTATGGGATCAGCAATGGCCTTTAACAACAGAGAAACTGCAGGCCTTGGAGGAGCTGGTACAAGAGCAGTTAAATGCTTAGCATATTGAAGAATCAACCAGCCCTTGGAATTCTCCTGTATTTGTTATTAAAAAGAAATCTAGTAAGTGGGGAGTGGTAACGGACCTAAGAGCAATTAACAAGGTAATTCAGCCAATGAGCTCTCTATAATCTGGAATTCATTTGACTACTCTGTTACCTAAAGGATAGCCTCTTATAGTTATTGATTTAAAAAAACTGTTTCTTCTCCATACAAGAAAAAGACAGAAACTGATTTGCCTTCATGGTGCCTCCTTATAATGATTCTCAGCCAAGTAAGAGCTATCATCAGAGGGTTCTCCCACAGGGAATGTTAAATAGCCCAACCCTGTATCAATATTTTATATGACAGCCATTGAAATTTCTACATAAACAATTTCCTAAATCTATAATTTATTATTACATGTATGATATTTTACTAGTTGATTCAAATGCAGATATCTTAGAAAGAAATATTTGAAGAAGTAAAGAAAATTTTGCCTTGCTGGAGATTACAAGTTGCTCCTGAATAGATGGAAAGAGGAGATTCTATTAATTATTTAGGATATAAAATAGGTCTATAAAAATTAGACCCCAAAAGGTGCAAATTAGGAGAGATTGATTACGGACTCTCAATGACTTTCAACAATCATTTGGAGACATTTCCCATCTACAGACTGTTGTTGGGGTAAAAAATGATGAATTGAGTAATTTGTTTAAAATCTTAGAGGGGACATGGACTTAAATAGTCCAAGAGAATTATCAGGTGAAGCTGAGAGAGAATTGGCCTTGGTGGAAAAGACACTACAGAATGCACACGTGGTTCGTATGTATTCAAAGCTTGATTTCATTTTAGTTATTTTACCCTCTAAGCATACTCCTACAGGAATTTTAATGCAGAGGGAAGATATTATATTTGGAGTAGATATTTCTCTACTCAAACAGTAAAACATTAAAAACTTATGTGGATAAGATCTGACTTGATTTTAAAAGGAAAATTGAGACTTCGTCAATTAGTAGTATGATGATATTTTATTTGTGCTGAAATGTGGTGATATTTTATTTGTGCTTTAAAAAATAAAGCTTGCCTGGAGATCAGGGTAAAAGGCCAGCCATTTTAAGTAAACTAAGAAGTAAGACAGGACACATCCTTAATCCTAGAAGGCAGGATCTGTGTGTGTGTTCAAGGCCACACTAGGGAACAGAGCCAAGTGTGGTGACACATGCCTTTAATCCCAGTACCAACCATAGAGACCTGGAGGTCTGTACAGACAGGCAGACAGTGACAGAATAGTGTAGGAAGAAGTAGTGAGGTAGCTGGGCTAAGAGACAATGAGAGGGCAGAAAAGCAAGACATATAATTCTGGGTAGACAGGAAGTCATGCCCCTTGGAAGCTGTGGTGTTCATGAGGTGAGGTTAGCTGGTGGCTTTCTGTCTTTCTCTGATCTCTTTAAGGCTTTAACTCAAATTTCCATGTTTGTTATTTAATAAGACCATTTAGAAATTTGTCAACATAAAAAAATTAAAAACTTATGTGGAAAAGATCTCCAACTTGATTTTAATAGGAAAATTGAGACTTTGTCAGTTAGTAGGAATAGACCCAGCAGAAATTGTAGCACCTTTAATTAATGATGAAATTGACAAATTATAGGCAGAAAGTGAACCTTGTCAAAGAGCTTGCAGTAATTTTTTGGGAGAAATTAATAGCAAATATCCCCAACGTGATGGAATTCAACTTATTAAGAAAGCTGATTGGATCACGCCTTGCATTTTATAGGAAACATCCATATCTGGAGCCCCTACATTTTATACATATGCAAACAAACAAGGAAAGGCAGATTACAAATCAGAAAATTTAAGTAAAGTGGTTCAAAGTCCTTATAATTTGGTTCAAAAATTGGAATTATATGCTATTCTGATGGTATTAATGGATTTTTTGGGACCTCTCAACATAGTGACTGACTCAATATGCTGAAAGAGTAGTCTTATATATTGAGACTGCAGAATTTATCCCTGATGGGTCATAATTAACTTCATTATTTATTCAGTTACAAGATATAATCAGGAATAGGAAGCATCTCTTATATATAACTCACATCTGATACCATATGGTTCTGCCAGGCCCTCTAGCACAAGGTAATGACAAGATAGATAAACTATTGGTAGGCAATGTGCTGTAGGCCTCAGAATTTCATTAAAAAAATCATGTCAATAGTAAGGGTTTAAAAAAAGAATTTTCCCATTACCTGGGAAGAAGCCAAGGAAATTATAAGGAAATGTCCTACTTGTTCCTTTTACTATAAGACTCCACTACCAGCAGGATGTAACCCAAAGGGTACTCAGAGGAATGAAATCTGGCAGATGGACATGTTTCATTTTGCAGAATTTGAAAAGTTGAAATGTATACACCATACCTTTGATACCTATTCAAATTTTCAATGGGCAACTGCTCTGAGTTCCAAAAAAGCTGATTCTGTAAGCACATATTTGCTAGAAGTTATGGCCATCATTGTTATATCTGTACAAATGAAAACTGACAATGCTCCAGCATATGTCTCTGTTAAAATGAAACAGTTTTTTGCTTCTTACAATATAAAGCACATTATAGGTATATTACACAATCTTACAGGCCAAGCAATCATAGAAAGATCAAATCAAACTCTGAAGGATATGCTAAATAAATAGAAAGGGGTAATAAAAATAACCCAGAAATAGATTACATAATGCTCTAATAACTTTGTATTTTCTCAATGCTAATGAGAAAGGAACAACAGCTGTGGATAGATTTTGGATAGTAAAGTAAAAAAAAAACTGTAGAATTAAATCAGCCTGCATATTATAAAGATGTGCTGACCTCAGAATGGAAACCAGGACATGTATTATATTGGGGATGAGGTTTTGCTTTTGTTTCTTCAGGAGAAGAAAAGCTATGGATACCACCAAAATTGATAACAGTTTGATTTGAATAAGAGAGACCTCTTAATTAGAAGAGGTGTTAGTTCATCAACCAGCATGAACACTCATTTAAACTAATTTATAACACTAACAAGTGCTTCTAATTTGGTCAGAAATAAGTTGCCAAAATGGAACCTCCCCCAAGTTAGGCTTGGGGAAGGGTTTTGTTTTTGTCTTTCAGGAGAATGAAGGCTAAGGAATCTGAAGAACACTGGATAAATGAGACATCTGAAGAAAAAGGACAAATCATAAAAAAAAAGTCCCAAGAAAAAGAGTAAACTGGCCTATTGTTATATCACATATAAAATTTCCTAAGTCTTCCTAAATGTTTGTTTCTGCTCTTCTATACAGATACTTAACACAAATGGTCTTTATAGAGTCCTAGTTAAATTAAAAATTAAAGCTGGCTGGAGTTGGAGAATGGCTCTCTCTTTCTCTAAACCTAAGCATGCCTGTTAAAAGAAAATGCAAAATCTCTGTATCAAATCAGAAGAGCCATCTGATATGGGAAAGAAGGAAACCAAAAATAAGAGACTTTGCTATTGCCACTAATCTCACAATTTTTTGATTCTTTTTTTTTATCCCAAAGGAAAATATTTCAAACAAGAATTTTTATTTGTTTGTAAAGGCATGAATAAAAATCTTGACACACTAAGGGAGTTACAATTATACAAGTGTGCTCAGTCACAGCTTTGGCAGACTGACTTCCATGTGCTCACAGTTCCACCATTCTGTTCCTCAAAGTGATTGTGCTCTAAACACACCCCATTGGTGAGTTAGGCCCGGACCCAGAACGGGAAAACAATGGTGATGACATCACTTAGCCAAGAGTCCCCAAGATGACGATGAGACGTCTGTTCATATCAACCAGGGACACCAACATACCATCTCCTTGGCAGAGAGCGGAACTGTTTAATTTGTATGTGAGAGCTTTCCTTCCTTTTTATTTTGTCTGAAACCCTTTCCTGGTCCCAATCCTGACCCTGGCATTGGGGGTGGTGGATGGAGAAATGAGTTTCATGCTGCAGCTTTGGTCTTGCTGTGTGATTTACTTCCAAGAGATCTGGACGAGTTTTCACTGCTGTCTGTTGAAGCTTGACTTTCATTCTCCTGAGTGCTCTGTTCTGCATGATTAGCTACTTCACAGGTTGGGGAAAGGAGATCAGACAGATTTTGCTCCTTTCTGTTTCCATATCCAGAATAAACCACAACACAGGTTTCTGTCTTGAAATCAATGGAAGTAACTGTAGCTGGGTAAACACAGCCGTCTTCTGACCAAATGGCAGAACATTTGTCACCAACTTCCCGCTGTTTCAAGGGAGCCATGGTATTCTTCCTTTGGTTTTTATTCTTCTTATCAGGTTTTCTTTTGGCTGTGCCTTTTGGCTTATCTGAAGTTTCACAAATGTCACCATTCTTTAGAGCATGCTTAAAGGAAGCTACCGCTTTATCATAAGCTTTTATCAATGCCGTATCATCCCAAATGTCAGAATCATCACTCTGGGAACAGCACTGCGTCCTCCTGCTCCGAGCCTGCATCGCCGCTGCCCATCGCCATGGCAAGCTACCACGCAATTTTTTGGTTCTATTTTGACTCTTTAAAACTTTTCTTAAGGTATGAATTTTATATCAAACTTGTAAGTTTAATATCTATCTATCTATTAAACTTTTGTCATGATGTTAATGGTCATATAGAGTACTAACTAATACTAGAAAATAGGCTTCATCTAGCTGCCTGTACACGTTTTTGTGTTTGAGTCTCTATGAGTTTTCTGCAGGGAAATCATGACCATGCCTAACAGCAAATGTGAAGCCTCCAAAAAGATGATGGGGCCCCTCAACGATGATTCTATCAGGATGCTGATAATACCACTAAGCTGACAAAGACCACCCAAAGATCAGCTTTGGACTACAAACTACTCAGGACAATTTCGAGATGGCTAGTTGAGATAATCCAGCCTTACAGACTGCTCAAGCAAGGACTTGAGATAAGCTCTGCACTTTTGCATTATGCAGAGACTAGACAACAAATCATACAGCTACCTCTCCCAGGACTTGACAATTAGCTCAATATTTTTTTTTTCTTTCAGGATCCTCTAAAGATGCTTTCACCCCCGGACAGCAGAAAGTAATTTTATGAACATGATGCCCACATTCCCAAGAGGTGGGGTGGGTGGTTTTTCATTTTTCAATAAGTTTTGGATAATTGTAATTGTTTAGGATGGTTGGTTACAAGTTGTTATTGTTAATGGTCAGGAAAAAAATTAACAGAGGAGATTAGATTTAATGTTCTTGTTTGAAAATAAAAGGAAAAAAGAGGATATAGATGAGGTAGATTATTGAAAAAAATCTATAAAAAAGATATAGAATTAATAGAACAAAGGGTAGATTATTAAATCTGTGTTGAAATGAAAAAGAAGACATAGATAAGAAAAATGTAGTTTATTAAATCTACTTTTAGAATAGCTATTTGTTTTAAATATTTTACATTGGACTGGATTTTTAAATATTGAATAAAAATTATGTGTATTGCTACAAATTTGAGATTGATTTATGTACATATAAGATAAAAAGATTGATTACTGAATCTTTTATAAGGCAATTCTATAAGAATTTTATAAGGCAACTTCTAGTTTTAGATATTTTACATTGGATGGTATTTTTGTATATTGTATACAAATTTTGTACATTGATACAAATTTGAGATTGATTTTGTAAGAAAATTGTGTACATATATTTCTAATCTTGCTTAAGGTATTGTACCTATACAGTTCATTTAACAATGCAATGCAATTTTCTAATCCTTCAAAGTTATTTTTACCAACTAATTATGATATAAAGAAATGAAAGTTAGCAGTTAGTCATTACCATCGAACTTGTAGTCATATTAGGTATATTTTCAAAGACAGGCAGAGGTATATTTTTAAATAGACAGGTCATCTTCAACCACTTCAGAGATCTACATAAGACGGCATTTAAGATGTTGTAATAACATACATTTTTTTTTCTCTTTTTTTATGACAATGAGACATGTCTGCTCCTGAAAGCACCAATGTACTTCAGAGAAGCTGATGGGCATTGAAGAAACTCCTTATGGAGTTTACTTTCATTCTGGCAAAAATTAGCCACTGTGCAAGAAAGTGCCCTTACATCAATTACTGACAGTATGCTGTCCAAAATGGACAAACAGGACACAAAACAAAGACTGCTGATCCTGGCCAAGACAAGTTAGGAAGGCTCTTTAGAAAATCCTGCTTCACAGATGAGTCTGTCAGATATGCTAAGCCTATAGGCTTTAGAGGATGCCTCAACATTACAGAGAAATGTCAGGTGACTGTCCAGGCAGCTGGCTGTTTCTGTCCTAACTCACATTTTTTGGAAGTCACTTGTTTGTACTTCCTGTTTAACTATGTAATATTATTTCCTTCTCAGGGGTCTGAGGGAGTTGAAGATTAGATAGTTATAATTATAGTTTTCCTTGTTAAGTTCAGAAAATAAACACACTAGGAGATGTAAAGTGTGTAAGTTTGAAAGACATCAAAGATAGTTTTTGGTTGATAATACAAATTAGGATAGAAAGCAAATTAGATACAATCCTTTAGATTCACAAAAACAGGATATATAACAGAATATTTTCACTGAATTTGTCAAATGCAAGTGGACTAGACATTGTTGATGTATTTATTGCCTATATATAGTATGTAGTTATTGTATTTATTATATATAGTTTTTCTTATATTAGTTATAACTTTTTTATTTTAAACAAGAAGGGGAAATGTGGTGATATTTTATTTACACATAGCTTGTCTGAAGATCAGAGGAAAAAGCCAGCTGCTATACTAAACATAGAACTCAGACAGTGGTAGCACATGACTTTAATCCTAGCATTTGGGAGACAGAAATCCATCCAGATCCCTGTGAGTTCAAGGCCACACTGGGAACAGAGCCAGGCATGGTGGCACATGCCTTTAATCCTAGCTCTAACCATAGAGGTCTGGAGATCTGTACAGACAGACAAGAAGTGATAGAGCTGAGCAGAAAGGAAGTGATGTAGCTGGGCAGAGAGAGGAAGTGAGAAGGCAGGGACAGAAATTCATATCGGCATGGGCATACAGGATATAGGTTTCTTTGGAAGCTGAGGAGTTGGTGAGGTGATGTTGTCTGTGGCTTGTCCTATTTCCTGATATCTCAGTTTTTACCTCAACATCTGGATTTGTATATATATATATTTGTCTTACAGTCCCTTACCCTACTAAGGTATCTTATTGGCCCATCACCATATTTCATGCTTTTGGGTACTGTCTAAGTTAGGGATTCCATTTCTGGGAAGAGACACAATGACCATGGCAACTCTTGTAAAGGAAAACATTTAACTGAGGTTGGCTTACAGTTTCAGAAGTTTGGTTCATTATCATGGTGGGAGATGGCAGTGTCAGGCAGACATGGTGCTGGAATTCTACATCTAGATCAGATAAAGCAGAAGAAAAAGTGACACTAGGCATAGCTTGAGCATCAGGGACCTCCAAGCCCAACCCTACAGTGACATACTTCCAGCAACAAGGCTACACCTACTCCGACAAGGCAACATTTCCTAATAGTGCCACTCCTTTTGAGCCAAGCATTCATACACCTGAGTCTATGGGGACCATTCCTGTTAAAATCAACACATTCCACTCCCTGGAATCCATAGCCTTTTAGCCATATCATCATGTAGAAATGCATTCAATATAGTGTCAAAAGTCTTCATAGTCTGTAACAGTCTCATACGTGTTTAAAATCCAAAGTTCAAAGTCTCTTCTGGGATTCATGCAATATCTTAATTGTAATCTTTTTTTTTTTTGGTTTTTTCGAGATAGGGTTTCTCTGTGTAGCTTTAAGCCTTTCCTGGGACTCACTTGGTAGTCCAGGCTGGCCTCGAACTCACAGGGATCCGCCTGGCTCTGCCTCCCGAGTGCTGGGATTAAAGGCGTGCGCCACCACCGCCCGGCTGTAATCTCTTATAAAATAAACCTGAAAAGCAGATGACATACTTCCAACATATACTGGTACAAAACATACATTACCATTCCAAAAGGGAGGGAAGGGAACATAGTGAGGAAATACTGAACCAAAGTAAAGCCAAAAACTATCTGAACAAACTACAAATACTATATTTCTGTGTCTAATTTTAATACACTCTTCAGATCTCAAACTTTTTTCAAATTGTTGACTGCAACACACTTCTCTTACTTCTCTTTCTGGGGCTAATTCCACTCCCTATTAGCATCTTTCCTTGACAGGTGTCCCATGGCTCTGGCATCTCCAACATTCTGGGATCTCCAAGGCAATATAGGTATTACCTTCACAGGGTGGCCTTCATGCAATCACCTCACTAGGCCTCCATGCAGGGACACACCTGCCACACACCTAGCCTCAGCAGCTTTCCTTTGTCATGTAGGGAAATTGTATAACCCCCTTCTTCTATTCTTGACACTAAAACCAGAACCATTTGGCTGAAGCTGCCAAATTCTGCTGCTTGCTGGGGCTGGACAATGCCCCTCCCCCCGCCATGTTCAATTACATTTTCACCAGCTTTCTATTTTCAATGGTTTCCTTCACTGCCTAAGCTTGGGGGTCCTGGAACTTGATCTGTAGATCAAGCTTGACTCCACCTTAGAAGTCTGCTTGCCTCTGACTCCTGAGTGCTGGATTTAAAGGCATGTACCACCTTGTCTGGACATAAGCTGTTCTTTAATTCCTTTTCACAAGTCAGAAGCATAGATGTGTGGATTCTTGTTCTGAGGTTACCACTCCTCTTATTCCATTTAAGATTAGACTTTTCTGTAATCTCTTTTTCTCCTTGAACAAGGACTTCATTCCACTTTGTGGTGCCTCATTTCTCTTCAAATTGTACATTTTTTATCTTTCCTTGCTCAGTTTACTCCTTTTCATTATAAAGTTGTGGAAGAGTGACCACTAATAACCATATAACAGAATTAATACCAGGCTATTTTAAAATTTATTCTACCATTGCAATTAATCCATAAATCTTCAGGTTAGTCTCAGGCAGACTTTTTGGACAAAGGCAAAAAGTAGTCACATTCTTCACCAAAATATCACAAGAATAATCTCTAGACCACATATTAACATTCTTCTCCCCTGAAACCACTTGAGCTGGGCATCCACATTTCAAATCACTCTCAGCACCACTGTTTTCAATGCTCTTGCTGGCATGGTCCATTAAGCCTTGCTTAAAGTGTTCAATTGCTTTTTCTAATCCAATGTCCCAAAGTCCACATTCCTCCAAACAAAACCATCGTCAGGACTATCATAGCAATACCCCATTCCTGGTACCAATTTATGTCTTAGGGTTTCTATTGCTGTAAAGAGACACCATGACTATGACAACTCTTATAAAGAAAATCATTTAATTGAGGCTGGCTTAGAATTTAGAAGTTTAGTCCATTATCATCATGGTGGGAAGCATGGTGGCATGCAGGCAGACAGTGCTCGAGAGGTAGCTGAGAGTTCTACATCTGGATCTACAGGCATCAGGAAGAGAGTGTGAGCCACTGGGTCTGACTTGA